ACGTCGAATACTTTTGTCAGGTATGGCTGAATGGTTCTTGAAAAACAAGCGTGGTTTTCTTCTCTCTTTTTTCGCAGGAGCTGCCGCATTACAGCGATTGGGAATCAAATTCATTTCTTCCCTTGAATTTTCCGGATCCTTCCTCCGTTCCAACTCTTTGTCACAATTTGGCCAGTTCTCTTCCACATTGCAGCAGCAGCAGCAGCAGCAGCAGCCTTGTCTTGGCCAACCAGGAACTCTTGAGGTCTGAAGTTCCCAACGGTTTCCAGGATTTGGGATTTTTTGGTAGTTTTTTAACGACTATAGGCTCCGAGGCTAATCACTTCACAGGAGCCACTAGCAACCACTTGACAACGCCCTCTGGGACCTGTTGGAACGCATGCGCCGCACAGCTCCCTTATGAAACGGCGAGCAGCTCAATCTCATCTGAAGGACTTGTTCTAGATCCGGATTCTTCCGATGGCAACTTACCAAGACAACGTGAAGCAGCCGGTGAAGCTGACGATTCGTATAAGAAGCTGTCAACAAATGCAGAAGAACAGGCTGTAAGCAGTGTCCTCGAAAGCAAAGACGTCTTAGATGGCGGCGCCGCCGAGTTTACCGAAAGGGACAATACCGGGTACAAGACAACAGGATTCCACGGAGGGAAGAGAGGACTACCCGCGAAGAACCTCATGGCGGAACGAAGACGGAGGAAGAAACTCAACGATAGGCTCTACACACTCCGCTCGATTGTTCCCAAGATCAGCAAGGTAAAGTCAGTCAGCCTTTCGTTTTCCTTTCATTTTCTCAGTTTCGTGGGTGTAACAGATGGATCGGACCTCAATCCTGGGGGATGCCATTGACTATCTGAAGGAACTGCAGCAGAGAATAGAGACCGTCTACACCGATCTCCAAAGTCCCGTTATGAGCTTTGCAAGCAAGCAGAAGCTTTTGTTCGAGGAAGAGCTTCAAACCAGCGTGACGTTTCCAATGGAGGTAAGCAAACTTTTTTTTTTTCCATGGATTTATAGTGTTGGGAACCCCAGGTTGACGTTCAGACGAGCGGTGCCAATGCTATAAGCATACACATGTTTTGCGAGCAACGGCCTGGTCTGTTGCTGTCCACAATGCGCGCTCTCGATGGACTGGGAGTCGACGTGCAAGAGGCCGACATCAAGTTCACGAATGGCTTCCAACTGGAAATTTATGCCGAGGTGATGAAACCGCAACTTTTCTAATACTATCGTTTCTGATGTTCTCTCTTCTGGCTTGCAGCAATCAACGAAAAAACTAGCTAGCCCCGAAGAGATCAAAGCTGTGCTAATGCACACTGCGGGCTACTTCAATCCAGTGATGCCGTGCTAGCTTTGCACTTCTAACATATAAAACCAAAACCCAAGGTAACATCTCAATACAATTCTAATGCTTGTTATTCTAGTTTACTAGAGCTCGAAATCTAGCAAGCAAGCAAGCAAGAAAGTATTCAAGTTTCGAAGCTTTCTTTCTCGAAAAGCTTTGCAAACTTTCTTCTCCATCACTCAGAGCTCGGAGCACGTCGCTGGCGCAAACGAGATGGTGGAACCCGGGTTGTCGAAAAGAATGTGATAGTGGCGTTGCATCAGACTGCCAATGACGCTCACATCTCCCGGATCGCGCATCGCAATGGCCACACAAACCCAGCCGGATCCATTCGACAAGATGTAGTTCTTTTGGCTGAGAACCATCCGCGCGCTCTCAAAGTGGAGCTCCATGAATGGAAACTTGTAGCTTGGTGTAGCACAGCTCCAAGTTAAACATGTTGCCCCAAGTTCTAGGCAGCGAGGCCTGAGGATAGAAGGCATTCTGGATGCGCCTGGTAATGGAGATCGGTGAGAAGAGTGGCCGAGTCGAACATCACGGCATGGCCACCATTCCTCCCCGAGCTCACAGCGCCAGAGTCGTTTCGAGCGATGGCGATGACGCTGGATCCAACCGTGATCGCGCGGAGCTCGGCGAAGTAGTAGCGGCCATGGCCGGGACTCGACAGCATTGGAAACCTGTGGACGCCCTCGCCGTGGATGCGAGCACGGCCCAGGAAGAGCACTCTGGAGCCCGCGTTCTTGGACGAGAGACAGTAGGAGAACTTGTTCTCCGTGATCTCGGAGTAGTACGAGTGGCGGGAATCGGTGAGCTGCGACACCAGCGAGAGCGCGCCTCGCCCCAGCCCGATCACTCCCGAGAGACCTTCGGTTTTTTCTCTCGCAGCCAAAGAGGGTGTCGGGGACGGGGATCCTTTCCGTCCAGCGACCTCTGGCGTAAACGAGGGTGACGGTCTCGGGCCACCGCGCCCGGCGTGGCCGATCGCGCTGGAGGGATAGTAGATGCAAGTGTTGCTGCCATCGCAGCTATGAGAAGGCGCGAGGCGGCAGCGCGAGTCACTGCAGCTTACGTTCTTGAAGCTGGAAGATCTTTCCTCGACTTAGTCGTAAGGGCCGCAGCGCGCCCACACGAGATCCAGCGATCGCTAGGATCTCTTGATCGGGCGTTCCGAGGTGGAAGATCGTCCACCAGCTTTCGTCCCAGGTGGACAGGGAGAAATTGGCAGGGCGCGAACTCGAGGAGGAGGATGATGATGATGATGATGATCCGGACAAGAACTTGACGCGCGAGTGGCTGCTCTAGATGGACGATGCCAATTCCCGAGAGGGTCGCTTGCTTAGCTCGACTCGGATGCCTTCGATCGAGTCTGGGCGAGCAGCAGCAACGAGGAGGAGTGCTGTGAAAGTGATCGTCAAAACAGGGGACACCATTTGGGATGTGTTCTTGGATCCGGAGAGCTCTTCCAAGCGAGATCGATGATCAAAATTCTCGACTTCTACGCGCAATTTCCTTGATATATATCATGGATTCGTCGTGTGATCATGCCAAGAGTATGCATTCTCTAAGGACAACGCATTTTTGCCTTGAGTTGCAAAGATCCCGCATCCACAGCGATCAAGGATGATCTCGTTTGTTCCTCTGCTGTGAGATCGATTCTAGGAATCCGCAGTGGCCTCCAATCCAGGAATTTCTTTCCCGCTCTAAAACCCTAGCTAGTGATTCGCGCCATCTCTCAAGCCCTAACCAGTGAGGGAGAAGGGGGAATATCCCCTTCTCCCATGAGCCTAGCTAGAAGGGCAAGATCGGTGGTCACTTCCTTCGTCTATACCCTAGGGTTCTCGGCGGCGATCGATCAGCTCCTGTGCGGGCGCGTCCAGGTCGACAAGGCCGATCTCCTCTACCTCATCAAGCAATGCGGCCACGAGCGCGCGCTGGGCAGCGGCCAGCGCCTCGCCGCCTACATCGATCGCGGCCTCTACCGCAGCGACCGGTACGTGCTCAATCTCCTGGTGGACATGTATGGCAAGTGCTGCCAGATCCGCGACGCGCGCCTCGTCTTCGATCGCATCGCGCCCAAGAACGAGTTCTCCTGGACCCAGATCGTCAAGGCGTATGCCCACAATGGGCATTTGCTCGAGGCCATACTGTTCTTCCGCAAGTCCCTCCTGGAAGGCATGGATCCCTCCGACTACGCTTGCAGCATCGTTATCGGCGTGTGCTGCAGCCTGGGATCGCTCCAGGATGGGCGATTCGTGCACGCGGTGGTGAGAGATCGAGGCTACGAATCCGATCCCCACGTCGCGGCGGGATTGATCCACATGTATAGCAGCTGTGGATGCATGGACGAGGCGAGCACGGCCTTCCGGAGGACGAACCACCGGGATCGATTCATCTACACGGCGATGATCGGTGGATTCGCGCAGGCCGGGCAGTGCCGCGAGGCGGTCGTCCTCTTCCGGGAGATGGATCTGGATGGGATCACCGGCGACAACATCACGTTCGTGAGCGCGATCGGGGCTTTCCAGGACTTGGGCGATCCGCGGCAGTGCCGGGCGATCCACGAGTGCGCTGCGCAGGCCGGGGTGGAGTCGGACTGCCTCGTCCAGACGGCGCTGCTCAACATGTACTCGCAGTGTGGATTCGCGGAGGAGGCGCTCCAGGTCTTCGGGGAGATGGCGGAGAGAGACAGGGTGGCGTGGAGCTCCACCATCGCGGCGTGCGCTCGCCACGGCTATGGACGCCAGGCCATGGAGCTCTTCCGCCGGATGGAGCTCGAGGGGATCAAGCCCGACATCGTGGTCCTCTCCAGCCTCCTGGACGCGTGCTCCAGCGTCGAAGCGCTGGCCGAGGGGGCGATGATCCACGCCAGGATCATCGCCGGGGGCTTCCACCGCGACCGCATCCTCGACGCCGCCATCCTCAACATGTACGCCAAGTGTGGCAGCGCCGCCAGCGCCAGGCTCGCCTTCGACGAGCAGTCCCCCGACGATCCAGTCTCGTGGAACGTGATGATCGGGGCGTGCGCAAAGGCGGGCCTGGATCTCGAGGCGATCGAGAGCTACCGGCAGATGCAAGCGCTCGGGATAGATCCCACGCCCGTCACCTTCATCACTGTTCTAGCGGCGTGCAGCCACTCCGGCTTCCTGGCCGAGGCCAGGATCCAGTTCCTGTCGATGATCCAGGACTTTGGGATCGCTCCCGACGTGGATTGCTACTGCTGCCTGGTGGATCTGCTGGCCAGGACGGGGGATCTGGAGGCCGGGGAGGAGCTCATGCTCAGCATGCCGTTTGAGCCGTTTGAGGCCGGGTGGACAAGCTTGCTGAGCGCTTGCGGCGTCCATGGCGATCGAGGCCGGGCCACGCGCATCGCTGGAGCTGGAGCGAGCATCGCCCCCGAGACGTCTGCGCATTACGTGCTCCTCTCCAACATGAAGAGGGAGGAAGAATGTCTATAATCTATGCTACTCTCTCCCAAAACAAAAGAGTTCCAATCCCAAGAAGTGTAGTTCTTCCAAATCCAAGCCTTCCACGTTTGAGTTTGTTTGACTTGAAATGCTGCTTGGACTTTTTCTTCTTGGACTTTAAGGCCGTGGTCACTATTTTATTTTTCCCATGGTTTAGCCTTGAGATTAGACTTATTAGAAAGTGGTAGAGTCCTATAACAACACTAATACAGTGTTAAAATTATACGAAGCGAGTTCGAGAGAGAAAAAAAAATCTTTGCCTGAAGTCAGCCAAGCGTCTAGCCCAAATGTGTAGAAATGTGAGAAGTGATTACTATAGCGCAAAAGGGCATCGATCGATCATTCTTCCAATCCGATGAAGGTACCGGCTTTTCTCCTCTCTGCCGGCGGCAATTCCACCACAAATGTGCTGCTGGTCGGGACAATCTTCCTCCTCGCCTCCCTGCTCGTCATCCTCGGGACCAAGAGCAGCAGCAGCAGCAGCAGCGTCGAATTCGTGATGCCCATCACACAGTCCTGCGAGAATTCGTCGTCCAACTTGTCAGTGTCCACGAATTTCGGCCCAGCTGCGGCGATTGATCCAATTCCTGCGCCAGAGGAGCAGGGGACCGGGATACACTCCAGCGTCCGGCATCTCCATCCATTCGGCATCGCCTCCTACATATTCGTCCTCACTGGCGGCTATAGAACCCAGACCAGATCCTTCGCGGTCGTGGGCCTCGCCGCCAAGTCTCTACACGTCTTTGGCAAGCCCAATTTCGCGTGCGAATGGGTGCCCGACTCCACCACCTCGGACTCTCCTTCCATCTTTGGCAGCGCAAGAAAAATCTGGCCCGACTGGGGCTATGGCCGCGTCTACACCGTGGTAGTCGTCCACTGCTACTTCAAATCCTCCGTGGGCGAGAACGGCAGCGGCGGGCGATTGATCCTCCATGCCGGCGAGAAGGGATCCGCCACGCCGGCCTCCAAGATCACCGCGCTTGTGGAAGCGCCAGGATCATACTCTCCCTCCCAGTTCCTCCCAAAGTACGACTACCTCTACTGCGGCTCCTCGCTGTTTGGCGACGTCAATCCACAGCGGCTTCGCGAGTGGATCGCATACCACGCCTGGCTGTTTGGACCGAGATCGCATTTCGTGCTCCACGACGCCGGCGGCGCGCGATCCAAGGGCGTGAGATCAGTGCTGGAGCCTTGGGTCCGATCGGGCCGAGTGACCGTCCAGGATTTTCGCGAGCAAGCACGCTTCGATGGCTACTACCATAACCAGTTCCTGGTCGTGAACGATTGCTTGTTTCGCTACAAGCACGCCGCCAATTGGACCTTTTTCTTCGACGTGGACGAGTACGTACACGTTCCCGGCCCATCCACGTTGGGTTCCGTGCTGAACGAGCTTGGCCAAAAGTACTCTCAGATCATCTTTAAGCAGACCCCCATGGGCCACAATGTGTGCATCGACAGCAATCGTACGAACTTATCTAGGTGACTCTGTGTGTGTGTGTGTGATCGTTTAGAGCTAGAGTTCCTTTTAGATCGCCTTGGTGTTTCTTCTATATCTTACGGTCGCTTCATCTTCTTCTTCCAGACAATGGGGATTTGAGAAGCTGGTTTTCATCAACGTCAACGTCCAAAAAACGTTGCATCTCGAGCGAAAGTACGTATTGCGAGCGCCACTAGCAGATTCCGCAGGAGTCCATCTCTCGCAGAATATAAGAGGGAAGAGCATCTACTCGAAAGACCAGATTTCTTACTACCACTTCCACAACACCATCAGCGAACACCAGGAGAATTGCCGAGAGTTTGTCAAGGTTCCCAAGCACAAGACTTCCAAAGTGTGGCTCAACAAAGTCCCGTACCTTTATGACGATAGATTGAGCTCTTTGGCTGATAAGGTGAAGGAGTTTGAGCTACAAACCATTGGTCCAGTAACACTGTAGAGAAAAAAGATTAAACAGGTCAGAGCCATTCTTTGTAAAGGACTAGAAACTTATATGATACCCGAGGCCAGCTGGCCCATACAGGATTTCCAACTGACAAAATGTTTATTGCTGATCACATACATGGCATTTTCCTGTAGGAAGCAAATTAACTTCACAACACTGACTGGATTTGCCGCTATGGAGCCGTGGTTAAACTAGAATATAAAAGGGATTTAGTACCTGTTAAGGAGGGAGATCTTGGTTCTCTTCTATCAGAGCACCAGAGTATTGTCCAGGAAAGCTGAAGATCGGCTGGATATGGTGAAAAGAGTAGATAAGAACATCAGCATGCGATTCGGCTGCCGCCTTGAGTTCGTGAGCGATTTAGGTACGCAGTTTATTAATACGGTTATTGCAGACACCGTATCCTCCTTAGCAAATGGCGAAGTTGAGCGGACAAACAAGACGCTATATGCACTATGACTAAGATTTGCAACGCTGGGACTTGAAACACTAGCGGTGCAAATCTTAGTCAGAGTGTCACATAGTCTCTTGTTTGCCACACAACTATGTGCGGAGAGTCGATGAGTTGGGCATGAGAGCTGCAATAACCTAAAATGCTACCTCTATCTCAATCAGGCAGCCAAATCACGTGACACGGTGTGCATTCACAGAGGAACCCTCCAAGTCTTCAGGGAGTCGCCACAGCTACCTGCCATTGGACCTCTTCTGTCAGATGGAGCTCGCTTGACATTGTAGTCCTCTCGAATGGAAAGGTCATCTCGATCGCCTCTAGATCCAGGCCGCGCAGATCATCACATTCCAAGAGACTGGACTTCTAGTCAACAATGGTGTCAAAGGATTCAATTGTGGTGGAAGCGGCGATGATGATTATCGCCCTCTCGACTAGAGCCTCGATGCTGATGCAAGCTCTCGGGATAGATCCCACGCTATGTAGTTGTTCTAGCACTGCTGCCGCTGGCCATATTTTGAGTTTGTAACTTATAAGCAAAAGGCAGGATTGAACCTTTCGTTTTATATTTCTCAAATATTAAGAAACAAGGAATCGCAAAACCAGAGAAGGAGCCGAGAACTCCAATCCAAAGGAATATTGTTGTTGCTAAGTCTTCTCCCACGCCTTGAACTTTTCTCGACTTGAACTTCTGGGACTTTAGGCTTTGGATCTTCTTCTTCTTCGCCACCATTTCTGCTAAGTAGTCGTCATGATTATGTTCTTCCCATTTTCAACGCCTCTCCATGATCTGCTCAGCAGTGAAGTTACTTTGCAGCGATCCATGTCCATGATCTGCCGGGGAGTGTAGGTTTGTGTCCTGACGTGAAAAGGATACCATTATACGTGAAAAGGAAACTATTATAATAACCGCTAATGTGGATTCCATGCTTGCAAAACGCATTCCAACTTACAAAACCTCGACTTTACTTTCATTTGAAGCCGCGAGGACCGAAAAACTCGAAAAAATCTGAAAACGATTAATTAGAACAATGGCTTTGCGAGCAAGTATATAAAACTGAGAAAAGCGTCCGAGAGAATCGCCAAAAGCACCACACCAGTGGTGGGATGGAATTGAAGCACTAGCAACCACGATAACGATATGACCTCGTCCGTACGAGACGGCGGGTGTGCCGTACGCCTCACAATGGGCCACGCGAACGAGAGAAATAGAAGAGAAAAGAAGCTATCTATTTCTATGCCGTAAGTCGGAAGGCGTCTGCGAGGAGCCCAGCCGTGTAGAAATGTGAGAGTCGACACTTCAGCGCAAAAGGGTATTGATCGATCGTTCTCCCAATCCAGAATTCTCAAGAATTCCATTCCATGCCACATTCCAGAATCGGATCGATCGATCCAGCTTTCCAGATGAAGGCGCCGGTTGCAGCGCCGGGTCTGCTCCTCCTCCACGCCTCCGCCAGCGGCAAATCCACCGCGAATGTGCTGCTGGTCGGGACAATCTTCCTCGTCGCCTCCCTGCTCGTCATCCTCGGGTCCTTCACGACCAAGAGCAGCGGCAGCAGCAGCAGCAGCGTCGAATTCGTGATGCCCGTCACGCAGTCCTGCGAGAAATCGTCGCCCAGCTCGTCAATGTCCAAGAATTTCGTCCCCGCTGAGGCAATTGATCCAATTCCCGCGCTCGAAGAACAGGGGACCGGGATACACTCCAATGTCCGCCATCTCCATCCAATCGGCGTCGCCGCCCACACATTCGTCCTCACTGGAGGCTATAGAACAGAGAAGAGGTCCTTCGCGGTCGTGGGCCTCGCCTCCAAGCCCCTCCACGTCTTTGGCAAGCCCGAGTTCTCGTGTGAATGGGTGCCCACCACCTCGGCCTCCCAGCCCACCTCGGACTCTCCTTCTTCTTCTTCCATCTTTGGCCGCGCAAAGAGAATCTTGCCCGACTGGGGCTATGGCCGCGTCTACACCGTGGTAGTCGTCCACTGCTACTTCAAATCCTCCGTGGGCGAGAACGGCAGCGGCGGGCGATTGATCCTCCATGCCGGCGAGAAGGGATCCGCCACGCCGGCCTCCAAGATCACCGCGCTTGTGGAAGCGCCAGGATCGTACTCTCCCTCCCAGTTCCTCCCAAAGTACGACTACCTCTACTGCGGCTCCTCGCTGTTTGGCGACATCAATCCACAGCGGCTGCGCGAGTGGATCGCGTACCACGCCTGGCTGTTCGGACCAAGATCGCATTTCGTGCTCCACGACGTCGGCGGCGCGCGATCCAAGGGAGTGAGATCAGTGCTGGAGCCTTGGATCCGATCCGGGCGAGTGACCGTCCAGGATTTTCGCGAGCAAGCGCGCTTCGATGGCTACTACTATAACCAGTTCCTGGTCGTGAACGATTGCTTGTTTCGCTACAAGCACGCAGCCAATTGGACCTTCTTCTTCGACGTGGACGAGTACGTAAACGTTCCCGGCCCATCCACGCTAGATTCCGTGCTGGACGAGCTTGGCCAAAACTACTCGCAGATCATGTTTGAGCAGAACCTCATGGGCCACAATGTGTGTGTAAATAGCAATCGTACGGACAGATCCAGGTGAGAACCTCTCTCCCTCTCATCGCAGAAAAAATTCGTAGAAAGATCGTCTCTCTGGTCGTAGACGTAGAAAGATCGTTTAGAGCTTTCAAGTTTCCAGAGTTCTCGTTGATCCTAGATCGTCCTTCAAGTTCTTACGATCGCTTGATCTTCTTCCAGGCAATGGGGATTCGAGAAGCTTGTTTTCATCAACGTCCAAAAATCGGTGCGTCTCGATCGAAAGTACGTGCTGCGAGCGCCGCTGGCGGATTCAGCAGGAGTCCATCTCTCGGAGAACGTAAGAGGGAAGAGCCTCTACTCGAGAGGCCAGATTTCCTACTTCCACTTCCACAACACCATCACCGAGCACCAGGAGAATTGCCGAGAGTTTGTCAAGGTTCCCAAGAACAGGACCTCCAAAGTGTGGCTCAACAAAATCCCGTACCTATACGACGATAAATTGAGCACCTTGGCTGATGAGGTGAAGCAGTTTGAGCTCCAAACCATCGGTCCAGTTACACTGTAGAGAAAGAAGATTAGACACATTCTTTGTAGAGAACTAAAAACTTGTATAGTATTTTGTGATACCGCGGCAGGAATCAGGATGCATCCAGGATTTCCAGCTGATAGAATGTTTAGTGCTGATCAAATGCGTACATAGAAACGAAACCTTACGTTCCACGACGAAACCAGCTGGTCCCGAGTCGTTGCATCCAGCCTTTCAAGCTGACGTTTCAGATGTTCTGTAAGTCTCAAAGGAAAAGAAAAAAGGAAAAGATTGAAAGTGAATACTAACTTGAGCAGTGTAGACTGCGCGTCGGTTGGATCCAATGCAAAATTGACAGACGCCGACGAGTGTGGGAAAATTTTGGCTTCTTCTTTCCTGTTTCTTCGTACCACAGAGGCCCGCGTGTGTTAGAACAAACTTATAAAAATCTGGTGGTCACCTTGCAGAAGTTGACAAACTTGGATGTTGACGCAGAAACCGCAACGCTGCCTCGCGTTGCCAGTGAACACGGGCACAAGAAAGAATTTCTGTTTGAATCACTTCTGTTGGTAACAATAATCATAATATCACACAAAAAATATATGATTCAACTAACTTGCTCAGAGAGATGTGCCTGCACAGAGGAAGAACAAGATCAGTCGCAAATATCACTTTTTTTTCTCTCTCTTTACCGTCAAGCTGTGAGATCACAGATGGTTTTGGTCAATCGAGACGTCGCAGAAGGTATTCGACTTGGACGTCCTTTGTCAAAGGCATCACCCAATCTCCGTAGAGGCGAGCAACGAGCTTGGGTTCTACTTTGTAAAGTGGAGTCGGCTTGGTTCCATTTGCGTCAATCTCTTGCCCGTAAGTTCTTGCTTTGTGCTCCACGCGCTTTTGCACGCTCGCCTCTACGCTCTCAAACGTGACCAGCCTCATTAATTCTTGCGGGTCCTGGTGAGAGAAAGGCTAGAAGTCAAGACAGATCTTGAAAGAAAATGTAAACACCTGTGCTCGGATATGAGGTTCGAATAGATGTGGTGACTCACGAAACTTGGCCTCGGCAACGAACTTCCCGTAGTGTATTCTTTTCGAGAGGGCCTGAAAAGGAAAAAGAAAAGAAAAGGTCGTTAAAGGAAATCTCGACTTTGTGCCGCGAAAGTACAAACCTGGAGACACTTCACGTCACAGGCCGCTGTTGAGCCATAATTGCCATCATCCCCGTCAGATACAAAGGAAGGCAGCAAGTTGCTATAGTACATTTTCCAGATCCTCGTGTTAATGTTGATGGCTTTGGCCGCTTGATGGAGCACCTGCACAAAAACAAGCTTTCATTGCTTGGATCCCAGATATGGCCCATGTCTCTCACCTTGGGATACTCGAGTGGAGGAAGTATAGGCTCCGGCAAATCATCTGGGAAAAAAGCGTGTTCATCAGGGGAGCAGTATCTTCGGACCTGCCAAACGAAAAAGAAAGAAGACTTCACAAAGTTATCTCATGGTGGTCATAAAAGAAACGAATAGACAAAGAGAGAAGCAAAGAGAAGACAAAAAAGCTTGCCTTGGCATGGAGGCACTCGGTTTCTTTGAGCATGAACTCCACCAGGGAGCCATCAAAGCCAGGAATGCGAAACCTGTTAGGATCATACGTCCGCGTATTCATCTTGTACTGCGCTCGCTCGATCAAGCTAAAGATGATATTATCCTCTTGTTGGATCAACGAGTCCCGGATGGCATCCAGGGTCAAATTCTCGCTCTCGTCCTTGACACCATCTTCCACGATCCTAAAACACTCCATTATCACTCGAAAACGAGGAGCGCGAGGCACATACCCGAGAGAAGCGCTGGCCCTGGGATGGATGAGCGAAATCAGTGGAGCGCACTGCCGCATTGTCCTCCCGAAGCTCGCTCTGGCTGGAATTTCGATTCTCTGGCGAGGCGCGACGAATCCAGCTCTGGCGCTCGGCGGCGACCTAGAGAGGAGTCCCTGTTGAGCCATAGAAAGATTCAAGTGAGAAAAAACCTAGCCGCGCTTTCGCTCTCTATTCCTACCAGTCAAACGAAACTCCAAGAAGGAAAATTGCCACGTTTTATTACGAGGAAGAGGAAGACCAAAAGTAAATCTGGAGAGAACCTAAGGGTCCCGGATTAAAGGCACAGACCTCAAAAAGTTCTTCCCTCTTGTTCTTCTTACACGTAGAGACCATGATGTGTCGATGGAATAATTTACTTCTAGCCTCGCGATTGCCCAGCTCGGGATGAAAGAATGATCCCCACGATCAATCCGTAGAGAGCCAGCGCCTCGGCGAAGATGAGGATCAAGATCATGCCCACGAAGAGCTTTGGCTGTTGAGCGTTGGCCCTGTGAAAACGATGGAAAGTGAGAAAGCCAGAGAAGAAAACAGAGTGGAGTTTCCAGCAGGGAAATCTTGTGAGGACCAAGCTCCCGATCTTCAAATGATTCGAAGATCATTGAGCCCAGTCCAGAGATCGCTCTGGCTTATAGTTTAGTTGAGCTAAAGCTGGAGATAGTCAGCAGACACTCGACCGTCTACAAGCGTGAACTAGTCGAAGAAGCAAAACGAAGAAAGAGTTTGGAAACTTTACCTCACTCCAGCGTCTCCAACAATTCCAATCGCCATCCCAGCCGAGAGACCAGCAAGCCCGCAAGCCAATCCGGAAGAGAGATGCGCGTAGCCATCGAAGAGGTAGTAGGATTTCGCCTTGGGATTGATCCCAGTGCTGATAATCACCGCGATGATAAGGCCGTAGATGCCGAGAACTCCAGCCATCACCACCGGGACGATCGATTTCATCACGAGCTCCGGTCTCATGACGCCCATGGACGCCACGCCCACGCCGCTCTTGGCAGTGCCATAGGCAGCTCCCATGCCTGTAATCGATTGATCCATCGCATTGCGATTAGATCAAAGAGGAAAAAGAATCTGGCTTACAAGAGAAGACGAGAGCTGCGGCAGCGCCGATGAATCCAAAGAATGGCGCCGTCTCATCGCCACTGAAGGCGTCCATCCCCGACGACATTATTGCGCGCACGAAACCCTAGCTCGCATAAACCCTAATTTCTCCTCAATATCAAAATCTTTCCAAATTTTCGCGCCCAAATGGCTTAGCTAGGGTTCTTGTTGGCTCATGGCTTCTTCTTCCACGATCGCCATAGGTTTGCTTCGATTCCGGGCGGCATTTAGTTTCTCATGATCTCGTCCGTGTGTAGGCAACTGCTCGGTGGAGATTTCCGGCGACATCGATTACGAGAAGAATGGGAGGAGGGTTTCTTTCAGCATTCCTGGATTGGGGACTGTTCGTGTGAGCGCTGCCGGTAAGTTGCTAAGGCTAATCCTGCAGTTAAAGCGCACGGATTCCGGTTTCTTACAGATTCAACCAGCATTGTTCCTGTCAATCCCAATGCTCTTGACATTGGTTAGTTCTATAGACTAAATGTTAGTTCTTGTGAGCATCGTGTGTTGATCCATCTTACAGCTCGAACCAGCATTGTTCCTGTCCATCCTCATGCACTTGACATTGGTCAGCTCTATAGACTAAATGTTTGTTCTTGTGAGCATCGTGTGTTGTTCTTACAGCTCCAACCAGCATTGTTCCTCTCAATCCCGTAGCTCTTGATACCACAGGGCAGCAGCTGCTGGGGGTATGCTTCCTTTCGTTTTAGCGCCCTAGTTAACTTGGATCGATCTTCTCAAACGGCAGGACGCTCTCGACCTTTACACCGGCGAATTTTCTACGTCGTGCCGTGCTTACATTTCTGGATGTGTGAAAGATGGAAAGAACGTCACTCTGGTCCTCGCGGAACACCAACACGCAAGTGACCAAACTCTAAGAGTTATTGATGCTTATGCTTTGTTTTCCTTACAGGTAGTCGCCGCAATGACTTACCAAATATCTTTCTCAGACGAGCTTTGTGCTGTGGTTTTACTATCTGCCGTACGAAGTAGTCACCAACGGAAGGCATGTTTCCTATATTCTTTGCGGTAGTCTTTTAGCTTTTTAATTGTCGTTCTCTCATTCTATAGGGGTTAGGGACACGTTTGTGCATCGAGTTCCAGAGAAGGCTGTGTGATATAGGCGTATCAACAGTGTACTGTTTTGCTGGCAGGTCCGAGTCCTTCTGGTCTAAACAGGCAAGCTCTTCTGAAAAATATGTGGATATGTATTCATTGTTATGTTTGAAGCAGGGATTTAAACCGTTGGCTGATGGTAGCACGAAACCAAAGTTTTCTGAACCGCTAGCGTCGTTTTTTACAAGTGATACCAAAGTGATGATTTTTGAGAAGTTTCCCCGAGCAGTTCAAGGTTCAACTGAACCATCTGCAACGCAGCAACATGCAATGCAACAACATACTGGTAAAACTTGCGGTTCGTAGTTGTCTTTCTTTACGGGATGCTTTCAGATCCCCCCGGGACTTCAAAGGCCGTAAGGAAAAAGGGCACTAGCAAAAGAAAACGGAACGAAAAGGGTGATCCCTCCTGCCAACCGTTACTTGCATTTTCTCAGCCGCCTCGTGATTCTCCAGACACTGCAGCTGGAAAGGATGTGGAACCAATCCAGACATGCGGGGAAAGAAGTCCAGTGGTTTTGTTTATGAATATGGCTGACGAGCAGCGCAAGCGACAACTAACCAAGGTGCAAAGCTACTGGTTTACAAGCTTTGAATCAAGAGGTATCTGTTTGCAGTTTGTCGAAACGCTTGGAGGGCAAGTTACAGATACAGGAAGCAAGTGCACTCACGTCTTGACAGGCCAAGTTCGACGAACTATGAACTTCTGTGCAGCTGTTTCTGTCGGGTAAATTGTAATTGTTTTTCTCTAAATTGTGTGAAATGTCTATGTGATAGAGCCTGGATTTTATCGCCAGAATGGTTACGATCAAGTGTCGAAGCTAAAACATTCGTAGGTAAGAACTTTGGAAAGAACATTTTTTGATCGATAAACTTTGATGATCAGATCCTATTCCTTTCGTTCTGGAGGATGCTGACTTCAAGGCAAACTATAACACTGACGTCGCAAGCGTGATCAAACGCGCAAGAGCGAAGCCACTGTTTCAAGGATTACAAGCTTGTCTGACCCCTCATATCGATCAAGTTCTCCGTGAGCTTATCGAATCTGGCTGTGGCAAGGTATACTTTTTCCTAGCTTCATGGGAAACGAATATGATCATTTTCATTTGCAGGTCGTGTCCCGGATTGAGGAGCTTACTATGCCAGTGTCAAAATCATTCGTCATCTCTTGCAAAGCCGATGCCATGCAAGCTAGAAACGCTTCAAGCGTCGGGCTTCGAGTCTTCGACACGGAATGGCTGATTCGCTCTGTAATGAAACAAGAGCTGGATATTGAGGTCAAGGACGGCCTGACGATTGTCACCACCGTTACTTAGCTACGAAGCATCATCCTTTTTTTTGTTTGGGGATTTTTTAAGCTCTTTTTCCCATTTTTGTCTCAGTGTTTGATTTTATTTGCAGGTAATAAATTCAACTGTGAGTTGGATCACCTAACTGTAAGGAAACATTTCTACTCTGATCTTAATTGATTTTGGGTCTTCTCTCTCTCTCTCTCCTCTCTCTTTCAACAGATAAGCAGGCCATAGAAAACAACACTAGTAACCCCCACCCATTTATGATTTTCTTCAGAAGCCACCAACAAGAAGATTGTATCAAGTAGCAAAATATTATGAAGAAAAGAAAAAATATATCTTACAGTCCATATTAGAAACTCAAGATTATTACTCTTGAAGTTTGACAGCCGAGTTCAACACATCAAAGGCACGAAAAATGATATATAGTATAGTATAGTATGAATTTTGGTTAAGGCTTGATTGAGGTAGCATTTCATTAAGTTCTTATAGATTTATGTATGAATTAAAAATAATAGTAATAATAATAATAATTATTAGTTATTTAGTCATTGTAATGAAAAAGTATATATTTTTGCATTAGAATTACTCCTAAATCATAAAGTACCTAAATGGCAAATCACGTGTCTTTGGACCTCATAAATAGTGTCATCCCAATAAACATTAAAACTACAATCATAAATTCTTTTCTATATTGTAAATTATTATTTTATAAAATATGAATTATCTAATTTTTAATCTTAAATTATAGGTAGTAAGTCTTTCTGAATATCCAACTATTGTCTTTCAAATAAAAGAAAGAAAAAGAAATTATTCATTACCTCTCTTCACCATGAACAGTGTAACTGTTGCATTTGAGGCAACAACCACGCTATTAGTGTGTTTCAGAACCTTAGGACAAACAAGAAATAAGGGGGGTTATTTTACTAATCAACATTAGTAACCAATCAGTTAATCAACCTTAATCCATACCTATTAACTTCTTCTTAGAATATTTCTAAATAATGCCTTTAATATTTTGTTGCACTAATCTGCATACTTTTAACTAATATATCTATATTTGAAGATGTGGTGCAAACTCTTGAACTATTATTAGATTTGAATTTGATTGGAAATGAATTTGTTGGTAACACATTCCCTACTACTACAAACCAATTAATACCAGCTGAACAAGTATTTTATCTTATGGTCTCTAGTACATATTGCAGCAAATGCATCAAAAGGGAAGGCTCAAAGTAGCGATTGAGAGGACAAAAAAAATAGCTAAAAAAATTAAGATTGAGTGAAAACACCAAAAGGAAGTCATTGAGAAGAAAGTGTATTTATTTGAGAACTTAGAACCAGGGAGGTGGTGAATGCTAGAACAGAGGCTCATGTGCTAAACAATAGCAGCTAGATTACCAAAAAAAAAAAATGAATATATACAAATAGTTGAGAGGTTGATTGTGAGTGACACATGCTGGAAGGAATTCATTTTTGGTCATGACATAAATAATGACTCAAATAGTGAGATGATAATACACATAAACATAAGCTTGGTGTGGGGGAAATAGATCCCATGAAATCCAATTCTCTCCTGAACACAGGTTTTTTCAAACTAGACTCTCTAAAGTGGAATGCAAGTTAAAGTAAACTTGGATAAAAAAGAAAGCCTTTTAGGGGACTTCTAATGGGACAAATCTTGATTTGCTGTTAGAGGGGTATGTTCTATTTCCTTCAAGCCATATTCCTTGTTTGTTTTATAAATTGATTGATATCTTAACCACCATAAAAAATAGTTAGAAACATTATACAATGGTTTTGTTTATAACTCATAAGTGAGTTCCAGGATCTGATGTGCTTTGCCTTCCCGCTCATCCGCCTCCACTTCAAGATCACACCAATCTAAGCCAGCGGGAGGGAGTTAACAATCACTCAATTGCTATTTACATAATCTTTGGGAGCTTGGAGGGAGCAGCTTAAAGAATCTAATACAGGAGAGAAAAAAAACTTAAGTCGATAATTAATTTGGGTTGATTTTAGAATGATCGAATATAGTTTTTCCACATTTTCTCACTACCATTTTTTAATGGAATTATAACTCTGAAATAACAACATGGGTGATTAAAAAAACTGAACTTCAAAATGTTATATGTGTATGTCACAAAAGATAGACTCATCTCTAGTTACTTTCACATTGCTGGTAAATAAACTTATTCAGATAAATACTATATCATTTTTTGTATTGTGGTGTATGTTTTCTAGTTTTAGTAATTAACTAGTTAATATATAATTAGAATCACTCAAGTTAGTAGTATAGTTTTAAAAGTTAACACTAAAATGTCGTTAATTTGAACTAAATTTTATTATTTATTTCAAAAACTTTTAAATTGTATTATTTATACTACTAACACTCTTTTATTAATAAAATTTAGCTCCTGTTAATTAATAACATTAAATAACAGATTTAATTACCATTCTCAAAATAAAAAATAACATAATTTTTTTTAATATAATTATTTACCCCTAACTGTGTTTGAAATCATTCTTATACATTTAAAAGAGCAAGGAGTTTTAGGTTTATGTATTTTTTTGAAAGTGCAATCAGGCTCATTAGTGAAGTTGATTTCTTCCAGTACATATGATAAACCTATGGAGTCCCTAAATTTTGTGTGGGATGTAAGGGAAAGAAATGTTAGGAGTCGGACGTGAGGTTTCAGTTGAATTCCTCATCAAGTCAGATGTGAGGCATTTTTTATGTGAGCACCAAGATGTTGATGTATTCTAAATCAACTGCTTGTTTAATTCTAGTGCTTTGAAAATATCGAGAATGTTCAAAGAAAAACGACTTGCAAGGAAGGCAAGAACATTATCAAAAAGAAGTTACACCAGGTCGAAGGATTGCATACATCACTAAATGGGCTCCTATGCACCAAGGACACCCTCTCAATCCTTTGAATTTTAGAGTTTGATCAAAGGCAAGTCTGCTTCTCTTTCCAGAAGAAAAATAAAACCAATTTTCCAAACAGGTTGCAAAGTGAGAGGACAAACCGCTTGTGAAGTGTTTTTGACAGACAGCACTGAGGAAAAACTGTGATCGGAAAGGTAAGCTCTTAAGTTCTTAGACACATTTAAGTTCTCTGAGTTCTTAAAAACTTGATTCTTTTGTCTAAAACTTTTTTTGCAATACTTTATAGGTGTGCAACTTGATGGTAGTGAACCCATTCATCAAAGACTCTTGGAGAGAACAGAAAAAGAAGGTGCCAAAGTTGTTAGTGTTTTGCTGACATACACTATTAATTTCCAGGATTCACATGACCACTATTTGAGGGCTTCCTGATGCAAATCTTTGGAAGTTTGTAACCCACCTCTATTGTCTACAGGCCGAGGGTGTCTACAATCAAAGGCTGCAAAACATTACCATCACATTTGACAAGGTAAATGTTCCTCTCTTTTGTTCTTCGTGTTTTTCTTATTGATGATGTTTTCTTTTGCCAGTTTCAGGTGAGGTACATGGAGGCACCACCTCTTTTGAAAAAGATCGATCAAAAGAAATTCGTTTCACAACTGTGGAGTGCAAAGAATTTGATTGTGAATGAGTTGCCAGCAGATAGATTAGCTGAGTTGAAGTGGCAGGTTCAAGAGCATACACCAGATGATAGGGAAGTCTCCGGGAGTAACTCTTATGGTACGTTTTCTCCTTGTGTTGTTCTCGCTGATGATTTCTTTAGGTTAAGAGATATGCTGTGAGGTTTAGAGCCGACAGTGTTGTCAAGACATGATGCAGCTACAGACCTGGTTCAGATGTACATGTATACTCAAAGCTTCTTTATACGCGAGGTATGTGTCTCTATGGTTTGTGTTCATTGTCTCATCACGCATATTTTACTGTAGGAGCATGGCACCTTTGAGTCCCCTCCAATTGAAATAAGCTCCCTGGATCTTGGCAAGCATACCTCTTGCCACAAGTGGAAGAAGACGTACAATAAGGAGTATATGCTCATATCCTTGTTCAAACAGACATGCACTGATCCTGGTGCCAGCCTTATACAGCAATGAAGAGGCTGCTTGGGTGCTCCTAGATTTCTTATCCTGCTACACCAAGGGCTTGCAAAAAGATTCTTGGTATGTGTATGGATCCAGGTTTCAAGAAGAAATGTTGAATGGAACATTCGATGATCTCTCATTTCTCTCAATTTTTGTGACTAACTTGGTTCTTGTCGTGCAGGAGCGTTCGTTAGAAGTGGCCAAAGTCATAGTTTTGGGAGTTCAAGAATAACAGAGGGTTGTTTAGGAGTCCAATGCTGGATGCATTGAGATTCTGTTTCTTTTATTCGTGTCCAGACACCTGACGGCCTTTGGGCTAAACATTCTAAAGTTGTCTATCCAAATGTTTGAAAGGTTTATTTAACTTATGCTTAGTCTAACAAACTCTCCAGTTTTCTTGTTTGTTTTTTAAATGCAGATTCAAACTAGTGGTGAGAAACTGGGACTCCACCATTTTCAGCCTGTTGGGTTTGGTGACACAGGAAGGTCTTATATATGGGATTAAAAAGCCTTTTTGTGATGGTAGTGTACAATTAGTAGAGTTGAAAGGTTCTTGCAATATTTTGCCATGAAAAGCATGGACAAGAGCGTGATGATAAGCAGAAATAAATCCCTGTCAACTTTGAAACTAACACTGATCTTTTGAACAAATTCATTGTGCATGTGCCAAAAGAGCTTTCTAAATTGACTTTTTCCTTGCAGACCATGACTTATGTTTTCTTAGTGATAGACTTTTATCCTGGAGGGGAACTCTTTCTTCAACTGGAGAAACAACCAATAAAATGTTTTAAAGTTCTAAGTGATCTAATAAAGCATGTGTGTATAGATGGTCATGGTACACTTTTTTACCCTAATAAAATATCTTTTAAAACTTATTTTTATTCAGTCCAGTTCCTTGCTAGTCAAGTTGTAAATTAGCTAGTCCCAACAAATTATTGAGATTAGAGTGAGAGAAATTTATTTTTCTCTTTCTCTTTGGGGAATGGCACCCGAGTTAGCTTCTCTTGATCTGGTCATCGTGTGTAGGCAACTGCTCGGTGGAGATTTCAGAAGAATGAAAGGAGGGTTTCTTTCAGCATTCCTAGATTGGGGACTGTTCGTGTGAGCACTG